ATAGAGCTAGCTCTAGGATAGCCAAGGCTACACAAACAAACCCTTTAACTGCCACCCCACCCCCCTCACACAAAAACAAAACAAAACAAAACACCAAGCAATACCTCTTCAGGTAGAGGTAATGCAGACCACAGTCATGGTAGTGGATAAAGCCCTGTGAGCATATATTTACTCTGTATTGAGAATTCTTGTGAAGCTTTTAAAAGACAGAATGAAAGAAAAAGAGTATTCCTCCAGTGCCCCGTGACTCATCGTGTTCCTGTAATGAGTCTTTCTCTGTCCCACCAGCCAGCTCCCAAATAATGACTCAGAGACTTCTTACTAATTATGAAAGCTCAGCCTTAGATTAGGCTTGTTTCTAACCAGCTCTTATAACTTAAATTTACTCATATTTTTAACTGACATTCTTCCACATGCTCCGTACCTCGTCTCCATTTTGCCCATTCTGGTTATTCTGCCATGGCTGGCAACTCTGCCTTTCTTCTTCCCAGAGCTCTCTCTGTCCAGAAGTCTCACCTATACCTCTTACCTAGCTATTGGCCATTTAACTTTTTATTAAACCAATCACAGCAATAGTCCTTCACACAGTGTAAAAGAATAGTCCACAATATGTGCCTGACACGCCAATCATCCTGCTGTTCCACTGATGGACAAGAACTAAAGCAGGCATCAGAAGCCAGAATAGCTAGGGGGTCACTGCTCAGGCAATGCAGGAAAATACTAAGAGCCACGGACCTAGGCAGGATGTTGCAGTCTCTCAAACACTGGCAAGATGGAGAGGCCAGCAGGATTCTCATTAGAGGGCACACTACATGTAGAATTGTATGAAACCTTAAGGGAAAGCCAGAAGTTCCTTCCTTCCTTACTTTTTTTTTTTTCTTTTGGTTTTTCAAGACTGGGTTTCTCTGTGTAGCCCCTGACTGTCTTGGAACTCACTCTGTAGATTGGGGTGATCTCAGACTCAGAGATTCACCTGCTTCTGCCTTCTGAGTGCTGGGATTAAAGTGCAACACCACCATCCTGCTTAAGTTCCAATATTTTTAAAGAAGACTTGTTAGTTTGTGGAGTCTACCAGTGGATCTGAGAAGTGAAAATCAAGTGAATTTATTTTTAGCTAGTCATTCTAATTTTCTTTTGTACATGGTTCTTCTTAGCAATCCCCTTTGATCTATTTAAATTATCCCCTTTGAAGACAATAGACACACAGTTGTGATGCGTTGGAAGTAGTAGGCTGGGAATTGCTCAGCTGCTGTGACAGTCGGTCACAGGTCCACCTTGTGGGTATACATTGTAGCACTTGATCTAGTTGGACCAGTTCTCCATGCTCTTTTCTTTCTCCTTTTTGCTGCAGGCTAATCTTCAATCAACAGGTGCTACCCTGTAATGCAACTCTGGTGCACAACTTGAATCATATCAAGCTCCCTAAGCCCTGGCTGCTTCTATGCCAGTTTTGTTTCCACAGTGGTGAGACAACATCATCTTGTAGCTGATGCCTGCCTTGCCCATGACTCAGGGGACCTCTGCACTGTGACCTGTCTCGGCTGAACATTCTATCTCAGTACTTGTAGAGGAGACAGGATTGCTGCGCTGTGGAGGTGTATGTCCTGTGGTCTTGGAAAGCACACTCCCCCAAATGCTAGGAAGCTTTGTCCTCTTTTTGTGGGTGTGCACACAACATTGCTTGGAAGGAATTTAGTTCCATCTATGTAACCATGGAGAAATAAAACCCTGTTTCATTGTGCCCAGAGGAATTTATATAGTCTGCTTCAAGTCTTGTTCATTATAATTCACTGATGGCGCCAGTTCCATGGTTAAGGGATGAGAAATTTCTTTTTTTAATAAAAGATTTATTTATTTATTTTTATTTGATTGCATGTGAATGTGGGATCAGGTGGCTCACAGGGGTCAGAAGAGGTGTCAGAGTCATCAAGTATAGATTCTGGGACCTGGACTGAGGATCTATGACAAAGCAACAAGTGTCTTAACCACTGAGCCATCTCCCCAGCCTGAGAAGAATCCTTTTGTTGTTGTTGTGAGACAGGGTTTGTCTGTGTAGCTCTGGTCCCTCTGTAGACCAGACTGGCCTTAAACTGGAAGAGATCCATCTGCCTCTCTGCCTCCTGAGTGCTGGGATTAAGTGTGTGTGCTGCTGTCACCTGGCTTAGAAGAATCTTTTATTGAAATGAATTGAAGTGGCAACTCATTTAAAACTCTTTTAGGAATATGGTGAGATTTTAGTAGTGAAGACAAATGGCAAAAGCTAGTTGAGAGACAGAGTCCTGAACTGAATGGCTACTCTAAAGTCTGTGGTATCAAGTTGTTTGGTAAGGGATAGGCTGTAGGTCATTGGTGACTTTACTTTTTGGATGCCATATATTAGCACAAGGAGGGGCCGCCTTTCAAGATGTAGGGGCTACTTGGAAGCTTCTAGATTTTCTGCATAGACTAATTGACTGGGGTTCTGTGTTGGTGTCTATGGTAGGTAGCCCCACTCCCACCCCCCTGGGAAAGCATTCTCCAAGCAGTCTACAAGTTTGGGGCCAGGTTTAGATGCATACATACATCATAGCTAACTAGCTGTGATAGCTTTGTCAACTAGACTCAATGTAAGGTCACTCAGAAAGAGAGTCTTGGCACAGGGTTGGCTAGATCATTTCACACATGACATGTCTGTAGGGACTATAAATCACACCATCCTTAATCTGGGAAGACTCAGTAGGCAGCACCATTTCCTAGTTTGGGGCCTAGGACCAAATCAGAGTAGAGAGAAGTAACTCATGAATCCTGACCATGTATGCAGTCATCTCTCTCTGCTCTTGGTCATGATGTAACTAGATGGTTTCCATTCCTGCAGTCCATATTTCCCCACCATGATGATCCAGAACATGGAGTTGGGATCTAAAATAAACCCTTTCTATCAAAGACTGCTTTTTGCCAGGGTATTTTATCACAGCAACAAAATGAAGCTAAGATGTTCCCAATTGGAAGTTACTAACTAGTTTGGGGAAGGAGTATGTGTTAGAAACTTCTGGGTACACAGAGATCAGAATATGACTCCCTTCTGTCCATTATTATCACCTTTACTTGCCTAACTTGCTGAGTAAAGCAGGGTTAGGGCCTACAGATATCAGGGTGAAAAATAGAACTTTCTGTGGCCTACTGCATGGCCTCAGGATAAAGCTGGCTTGAGACCTGGTCTCCTCAGCCCAGGACATACAACCGAGTCTGGTGGGAACCAAATGCTCCTAGTCAGATGATGAAATAGCCCCTGAGAAGGGTTTTGCTCACAGAGATCTGGGAATGCCCTCACTCCTCCACTGCCCTAGGCCATCTGCCTGTGAAGACTGTGCTGGTGCTCTGACCAAGTTTTCTCCATCACTAACCGTGTTTAGATGGAGATCCAGTTTCTCACTGAAGGAGAAAGCTATTCCATGGGTTGTCATCAAAAAAGACAAGGTGGCTATAGTCAGCAGTCTCAAATACTAGTTTTCAATTGGGAAAAATATGTGGTTCATTTATTAAAAAACTTTGAGAGTCTTCATAAGTACCTCTTTGTGGTGTGTGTGTGTGTGTGTGTGTGTGTGTGTGTAAGAGAGAGAGAGAGAGAGAGAGCATAATACATGTGGGTATGTGTGGTGCAAGTGTGTGTGAGAGTATAGTACATGTGTGTATGTGTGGTGCATGTGTGTGTGTGTGGTGCATGTATGTGGATGGTGACATGTATGTGTATGTGCACATGAGTGTGGTATATGTGTGTGGTGCATGTGTATGTGTGGTGCATGAGTGTGGAGTGTGTGTGGTACATTTGTATGTCTGGAGGCTGATGGCAGGTTTCTTCCTTACTTTTTGAGACAGTTGCTGGCTTGGCTAGACTGGAGAGCCTGTAATCCATGGGCTTTCTCAGGGCTAGGATTCCAGGTGTGTCACTAGGCTGGCTTTTTCCCCATGAATCTTAGCAATCCAAACAAGTCCTTGAGATTGTACAGCACACACTTTACTGACAAAGCTATCCCATCAGCCTTGGTATCGGCCTCTTGATGGCTCCATTTGGGAAGGCTGAGGTCTGTGTAGCATCAATGTAGACATGCTGTGGTCCAGTACACAGACACCACTGCCCAGCTCTCTCACAGATTGACATTTCTCAGACGGGGCACTTAGTACCTCGTTGGGAAGCTTGCATGCCAGGAAACTTATTCTGGCCCGGACTGGGCGAGTCAGGCAAAGCACATTACACCTTTTTATTTATGAAATAGAGGGAATAAGGGGATGTGACACAGGTAAGAGAGAGGCTTTGTTTTATACCTAGACAATTCTTTTATTTTAATTAAAAACAACTGAAGGAGTTGTTCTCCAGCCTCAGTTTGAGGCCATAACTGTTACACTGACTTGGATATTAACTGCTAGGAGACGTCCAGGTACACAGGAGGACACATGTAGGTAAGGAACTTGAGCTGCCACAGAGGTGACCTGCAGCCAATGCTGTCACAGACACGGATGGACAACTTCTGCCTCTTCTTTCTCTGTCTGTCTGTTTGTCTGTCTGTCTGTCTGTAAGTCTGCTTTCAAGACAGGGTTTCTCTGCATAGCCCTGGCTGTCCTAGAACTTTCTCTGTAGATCACACTAGCCTCAAACTCAGAGATCTGCCTGTCTCTGCCTCCCAAGTGCTGGAATTACAGGCATGTGCCACCTTGCCTGACTCCCTTTTCTCTTTTTAAGTTACTGAGCTGGAGATTTCAGATACTAACTGCTTTGAATTTCTGTTTTATTTAATAAAATTGTTGAAGGCTAAGACAGTTTCTTTTGTCCAGGTTCCAAGTCTGCTCTGGCAGATGGTTTGGTGCAGAGCCTTCGCCAAACAGATTTCAATTCTTTAAAAAAAAAAAAAAAAAAGGCCATGTGAGTTCCTGTGCAGTGTTGTTCCTAAACTTCAGAGTTGTCTTTTAAACCTCAAAACAAAATAGGAACAACTCTTAATGCCTACAAACTCAGCACCAAAAGGCACAGCACAAGCACATTATTTTATTGGAAACAGACAGAAACATTACAAATTTATAAGCTATCTAAAATGAATAGAATTTACAAGCAGTTGAAAAACATAAACGCTCGTGAACACAGTTTATCAAAAAAAAATATTTGAGAACATTCAGCATATACATATGATTACACACACACACACACACACACACACACACACACACACAAACACCAAAAGCTTCTGAAGGTGAAAGTGACATCTACTTTGGCTTCACTGGTTTTATCACCCCCCCCCATGTGAGGATCAAACCCAATGCCTTGTGTGCACGCTGATGAAGCACTGTGCTGCTGAGCTACGTATGTGCCCCCTCTCTAAGAAAAAGGTTTTCATTGGAATGGTTTTATATAGTGGCTGAGGGTGGACGATGAAGAGTTTGCCTTCACTGGAAATGTCTAAAATGAATACTATGACCGTAATTGAGGAAAGATGAGGGATTCCTTTCATCTTGTGCTCTGTGGTCCTCCTCTTTCTAGGAGGATGTCAGGGTTAGAATGTTGATTCAGTGAGAATTAACGTCAGTGAATTCGCTGGGCATGATATAGGAAGCTTCCTATGTATGTGAACTAGGGTTTTCCTTTCTCAGAAACAAATGTTATTTAATCCAATGTAGCTAAATCTAAAGAATTTTATGAATATCTTTTTTCTCTGGATTAAAAATAGAATCATTAAGCATTGACCTAACAGTGAAATTATAAATTAAAAAGAAAACTGTTTTCTTTACATATGTATCAATATTCACTAAAGAAATCATGAGGTGTCTATGTGATGACAAGGCATACATTCAAATGCAGAGCATGGGACAAGCAGTTCCAATGGCACAGAGTGAATATAGGAACAGAGCAGCTGACCCTTCCCTTCCTTCAGCAGAAAAAGGTTCGGTTCTGGCATTAGATTGATTATACCATGTTAATTTCCGGGGAGTTTTACCAATCAATATTTCACTGTTTCTCCACATTTGACAACTCATTAAGTCTCTCAGACTTCCTCCTGGCTGTATGTGTCAATGCCAGTTCATTTTCCAACCTAGAACACATCCATTCTTGTGTTCCAGGAACCTTTGACCTATGCACAGGGTACCAAGGGCAAAACTTGACAGCCAAGGTGTCAAGTAACAAGTAACATCTAATAAATGTCTAAAAGTTAAGATCACTAGAATGGAGAACTGTCCCAACCCGAGGAAAGACATCAAGAGAGACGGCTAACACCCTTCCCAAGAAGATGCCCTGGGGAACCCAGCAGAGTCCTCAAAGCTAAGAAGGAAAACCAGTCAAAGAATGTGTACACATTTCAAACACACTAACCTTTCAGATGATTTTTTTCTTTTTCACAAACTCGTGTTCACAGCTTATATATCTGATACACAAAGTGAGTCAGAGATGGATAGTAAACATGTATTTGACTTGAGGTATCAACTCATGGAATGCCCATGGCTTATCAGCTTCCACAAGCATTCAGTGAAGTTAACTGCACTCATTCTGTACTAACTCTGCTGGAGATCCTAGGAGCAGGAATCTAGAATGAGTCAGAGATATCAAATGCAAAGTTGCAACGAGCAAAAGACACTTCCTGGAGTATATCTGGGTTCTTAACACTTTTGTTCTTAGGAATGTCTCTTCTGCTACACACTTATCAATGAGCTGAATTAGAAAGCCTGTCCAAGAGGATTCGATAGGAAAAAATGCATCCATAACTCAAAACAACAGTGGGCTGTGCCAATTCTGAAAATTTAGAAAGTGTTCATAATTCCCTTATAAGGGTGAAAGAACATCTGGACTTCACAAAGAGTCTGTTAGCTGCTTTCAGTTTGGGAAGACCCACCTTTTAGGGATAAGACATTTGGGGAAAACCGATGCATGCTATTAAATGTCACATTGTGTAGTGATTGCTTTACAGAAACTGCTATGTCAATGAGAAGAAATCTATGGAACAATATTTTTCAAGGAGATGCTGTCGTGGTGGTGCACACTGTAACCCCAGTCCTCAGGGTTGTGCTAAGCTGGGGCAGCCTGTGTCACACAGCGAGAGTGCTTGCCTCAACAATAACCAAACAAGAGGACAAACCCAAAGCAAACATCCAAACTCCAAAGCACCAAAAAAGAAAAAGAAAAGGGAACAAAATGACTTTTTTTTTTTTTTTTGGTTTTTCAAGACATGGTTTTCTCTGTGGCTTTGGAAGCTGTCCTGGAACTAGCTCTTGAAGACCAGGCTGGCCTTGAACTCACAGAGATCTGCTTACCTCTGTCTCCCCGGTATTGGATTAAAGGCATGCGCCACCAACACCCAGCTCAAAATAACTAAATTCACTTGGGTCTTCCAGAAAACACACTTTTGCTAATTTTAGCCATATCTATGCTCATATAATCATTTGTGTGTGTTTGGGGAAAAGAAAAAAAATGTGTGTGTTACATACATTTTAGGCCACTATGTTCTTTTATATTTTGCCCATCTGTTGTCTAGTTGTAAAAGAAGAGTTTGCAGATGAGAGGACAAAGCACCAGTCTTTCTATTCTGTAGTTTTAATAGCTTCAGAGTATGACTCATCAGAGACCACTCAGTCAGAAGCCAGTTAACCTGATCTGTCAATCACCCTGAGTCCAAGACTAGGCAGAGAGGAAATGATGCCCCACCCAGCAGTGCCAAATAAATCTAATGACCAGGAATTTTCCAGAGATGAACAAAAGTCTTTGACTTCTTGTGTGCTCAGGGACTGTTTCAATGCTTTTGAAAACATTATAGAAAGGCACGAGTTTTCTAAAAGAAGATCAAACTTGATTTTCCAATTTGGTGGTCAGAGCAAAGGCTTTTTCCTTGGCGTCCCATCCATAGTGTTCATACCATATTAAATATGCTAACATGCCATACAAACAGACCTTCCAAGAGTAAATATTGTTTCTCTCCAGTTGTCTTGGTTGTAGTTCAAAGTTTATGGAGACTTTGGTCATCATCAGTCCTGCTAAACAGGGTGACGTCGTCATCATACCCCAAGACTGAACAGTCTGCATTCTCTAATAAAACATAACTGTTCTGACTGCCATTTGGAGAAAGGACTTCCGTCTTAGCAGTGGATGTGAGCTCACTCCAGGTGATGTCAGTGTTTTTAAAAGCATGTAGAAGGAAGATGCCATTGATGATGGTAAAGAACCCACTCAGGGTACCAATGATATCTCTGGCTTTCATGCCATACCACTCCTGGAACAAGATGGCAGAACATGTCACCACCATGGATGTGAAGAACACATAATAAATGGGAGTCACCAGAGATGTGTTGAAAGTGTCCAAGGCTTTGTTGAGATAGTTAATCTGTGTCATTACTGAAAGTATAAGCACAGCCAACAGTATAAAGACCAGGGGATTCTTGTAAACAGGCTTCCACTCCAGTAGTTCCTTGATGGCAATTCCCAAGCCCTTGGCAGAAGAAACTGAAAAGGCTCCAATCAAAGAACAGATGGCAATGTAGACCAATATATTAGTCTGTCCTTTCTTCGGTGCCACAAGTACCATCAGCACCAAGGAGATCACAGAGACGATCACAGCAAAGGAAATGAATCCTGTTAGGAGGAGAAAGAATCAGGCTCAGGAGATGCTAACAGGACAAAACCTTCCCAAAGTACTGTTCGTCATCAATTTGAGAGAACAGAACTTCGAGCAAGTGAAAGTAACTAACACCATTCAGCTCCTTAGTGATTCAGAGAGCAATTCACAAACATATTGTTTGAATCTCCACAATATCACAATGAGGCAAGCTAGGCGTAATGTTTTATATTTTTACTTAAGGAAGAAGGGGCAGGAATTTGAGTTCATTAGAAATCTTATGTTTCTGCTTTCTTCATCTCTTCCTGTTGGTGTGTAGCAAGGATACACAAACACAAAAACAAATTGTTAACTTCTTTGAAAAAGTTATAATGAACAAATCTCACTGTGACTCAAAACCCATGATAGGCTTTGTAGGATCCCATCATTTTGTCGTCACAAATTTCCATTGGTGAGGGGCATGTGGCACATGGGTCATGTCAGTACTCAGGGGACTGACAAAGAACCGTAAGTTCAAGGTCATCCTGGGCTATATAGTGAGGTCCTACTTCAATAAAGCAAACCAAACCAAACCAAGCTGAAAACAAGCATACCGACCTCCCCTGATGAGGGAAAAAAGAAAGTGACTTCAGTGAGTTTTATTTCTTCTTTTTTGCTTTTGCTTTTGTTTTAAAAGCTGAATCACTCACCTGGATCTCTCAATTTCATTTCCATTTCCTGCAAAGAAGTGACTTCTTCCTCTTGGGGGGCATGGATAACCATCACAGTTGACCCCAATATGCTTAATATGCAGCCTATTTTCCCATGAATGTTCAAGTGCTCATTTAAAAAATAGGAAGACAATATTGCACTGTTGAGAGAGAGAGAGAGAAATAAAATCACCACGGTTAGAGGTCAGGCGGTTATACGTGCTGCTCTGCTTCCCACAGAGCTGACTAGAATATGCTATGTGACACTGAAAAGCCTTAAATAAATAGTTCAGAAATGATGGTTAAGTATCCTTAATTTACTACTTTTATAGTTCAGGAGATATCATAGACATGCCATGTTCCTGTTGTCTCTCCATTGCCTCTTAGGGCTTAATTAGCTTCTCGTCATCTCCTGTCAAGTAACTGCCATGAAAAATACTATATAGCTCACTGGCAAAAGAGAGCATCCTTATCTGGAATGTTTAGCTCCTGAAATGCTTCCATTGGAGGTGTTTTAGGTGTGGCTTATTTGCATGTACGAGGGAGAGAGCACTCTTAGGGAGGAAACCTGAGTTTAAACTGAAGCTTTATCTTCAAGTCATACAGACTTGACAGACTCTCCGGAGGAAAAGTTGACACAATCTCTTTGATGTGCTCATGTTTTGACTGCAGTCTGTCACCTGAAGTCAGGTAAGGAATTTTTCACTTCTGGTGTCCTATCCAGGCTCCAAATGGTTCCAGTTTAGGATCACCTGTGCCTTGAGTTTTGAGTTAGGGACGTTCAACCTGTACATTTAGAATATAAGCAACTATGGTGTTTCAAAGATATACATCCTAGGCTGGGGAGATGGGCCATTCAGTCTATGGCACAAGAATGAATACCTGAGTCTCATGACTAGGACTCTTGGGAAAAGCCAGTGTGGTTGTGCATAGTTTTAAAACCCCAGTGCTGGGAAGGTTTGGGAGTTTGCTGTCCAGCTAACCTATTTGTCAAGCTCCAGGCCAGTGAGAGACCTTGTCTCAACATAAAAAGATGCACACCCGAGGCTGTTCTTTGGCCTTCATTACACACACACACACACACACACACACACACACACACGAACGATAGAAAGATATATATCTAGCTAGCAGGCACTCTGTTCAGAGTTGATAACTAACACACACCTGTACAAACATACAGATTGCCAAACAGTAAAACACTCTTCTGTCCACTCCTGCCTGGATATTTTTGCCTATCTAAAGCCCCCAATTCTTTGCTTGTCATGGCTTGCTTTCAAAGTGCTCAAGGTTGGCACTGCCATAGACACCAGAGTAGGACATCCTGCTGCTACACCAAGCAGCTCTCTGAGGCTTCTGCCTACCAGCCTTCTCTCTTACCATTCTCAATAAATGGTGCCATTTGACCCCAAGACTGTGGGCATTTACGAAGTGCTTTCTCAGAGTTGCCCTCTTGTGGTCATTGTGGGACTGCAGCCCACAGTCTTCAGACAGCTTTATACACATTAACTCATTTAATTCTCTCAGTTCTATAAAGACAGAAAGGAAAAGTAGATAGGCCTAGTCAGACGCTGTCTACTAGATACTGATAATTTATAGACTCTAAAAAGACAGACAACAAAATGGTAGCCAAGGCACACAAAGAGTTCACAGCTCATCAAACACATTCACCCAAATCTTGATACAAACCAACTCAGAAAATCAGACCTCTTAGTATTCAGGCATCAATACTGGCCTGCCCTTGGGGTTCTGACAGGATACACCCTTAGCTGTAGTCACTAAGAGCACCACCTGTGCACACTACTTTCCCTTTTAAAAGGGCCCTGCCCATCTCCTACCTTTCTCTCTTCCCCCTCCATCTCTCCCTCTCCTTTTTCTCTCTCTTCCACCAATTTTGTCTCCAGGGACCAGTTTCTGCCCCCTCTCTGCCCCCTTTTCTGCCCCTTCTCTCTCCTCTTTTCATAACCTTCTATATGAGTTCTGTTGTTTAGTATGACTTCACTTTGAGACCCACTGTGCTGGTTGGTTTTGTTAACTTGTCACAAACTAGAGTCACCTGGGGAGAGAGGCAGCCTCAGTAGATAAGTTGTCTCCATCAAACTGAACTGGGCTTTTTTTTTTTTTTGGACTCATGATTGATGTAGGAGGACCCAGCCTACTAAGAGTGTTGCAACCCTGAACAAGTACTCCTGGGTTGGTTGTATAAGAAAACAAGCTGAGTGAGTCATGGGGAACAAGCCAGTAAGCACTGTCCCTTCATGGTTTCTGCTCTCAGCTCCTGCCTTGAGCTCCAGCCTTGGACTGCCTCAATGACAGGCTCTCCTCTCCTAGGCTGATTTTGGTGAAGTTGTTTATCACAGCAACAAAAACCAAACTAGGACATCCATATAGTATAAAGCAGGAAGTCCTACCACAGGATATCCAACATAGATGCCCAGCAAGAAAGGATGGGATTTTATCAAGAACCGAAATGTATCTTAAACACTATATACCTTTAAAGCCTTCTGATAGCTGTTGTCATTAATCTCTATGGCAACAAGAAAAATTCAATTTCACAATTTACTCAGGTGAGAGGTATAAAACACACCAAAAACTTCTGGCTAGGCTTCCCTGAATCACCACAAATATAAAAGGCAATTACCTTGTTGGTAGTGAGTCAAGCTCTCCTGTCAGGGTTTTTTTTTTTCTCCTCTCTTTTCCTTTTGTTTTACTTGTTTGTTATTAACAACAATGCAATGTAGTTCCTATTTCTCTTGCTATTTTTTGTAGCTTTCTCAAATTATTTTCTTCCAGAGGCAAGATTAGTTTTTCTTTTCTTTGTTAGAGATCAAACTCAAGGCCTTTTTCATGTTAGCAATTTTTAGTCCAAGAAATAATCTTTTATGCCTTTATTATAATCGACTTGTCTTTAAGTTCTCAAGAGTCCCAGACATTATTGGAGGCTGTCTTTGAGGCTTTGAGAGCTCAGGTTGCATCTCTCTCTCTCTCTCTCTCTCTCTCTCTCTCTCTCTCTCTCTCTGTCTCTCTCTGTGTGTGTGTGTGTGTGTGTGTGTGTGTGCATGCTGTGATTTTTTTTTTAGTAGGACATTTCTCGTGGTTTAAGTGTGCTGATGCTAATGAACTAGCCACAGGAGCCAAGCTCTCTGTTGTTCACCTACCTTACTAGAACACTCAGTGCCCCCAGGGGCGTGATCAAGGTGGCAGGTGCAAAGGCATAAGCTGCAAAGTTCGCTGCCTCTCCAGCTCCCACTGGAAAGCAAGTAGAGATATGAGTAGATGGGATAATATCTCCATAGAAGATAAGCAAATGACTCATGATAGCAGCAGACTTCTATCTCAAAGACACTAAGACCTACCTAAAATCAATGATTTAACTTCTTGCAGCCTGTGGGAAAGGATTGCAATCATGGCATATATAGCCTGGAGACAACAATGTAACAGCGCAGAGGGATGAATATACATTTTACATGGTTTTCAATTGAGATGAGCTACTTGTATGTTGAAAACATATTATGTCTAATGGAATCTAGTAGATGTAGCTTTGGAGTAAAATGAGAATGGCCGAATTTGCAATTTAAACACAGCAGTGACATCAGGCATCTTATAAAATGAGAAGGGCTTATAGGGATCTGGTGTCTGGGTGGCAGGTATCCAGGAATCCCCACCACAGGCCCACTGCAAGAATCTCCGAATTGGGGATGAACTATAAGCGTGTGATGACGTCTCAGGAGTTCAAGATCCAAGGAGCTGTTTGAAAGTCCTAAAGATGGACGTCTGAATGTAATGTTTTCTTCAAAACTTGAAATCTGAACCAGGCAGTATGTTGCAAATAACTCCCAGAGTGGGGGAAATTCCCCCAAGAGCTGGCTTTTGTGTGGACGCCAGCTTATTCTCAGAGACTGCAGTGGGATATTTCTCCAGAAGTTATAGCATTTCACACTGTCCAGCTGTACCAGGAAAACACATAGTGGAGAGAGAAAACAGCAGCATATAATCTTCTTTTGTCTACTTTGCTACCACACCCAAACTACAGGACTACCCAGAGTTAGAACACCATAAAAAATTAAATTGTTATGGAAATTACTTTAACTATGTAAAGATGTGTTACATTTGTTTATGCTGCATTTGTTTAATGATGTAAGGATGTGTGTTTAATTATGTAAGGATGTGTTGCTTTTGTTTTAACTTGCCAGGCTAAGGCACCTGATTGCTCTAATAAAGAACAGACAAGTCAATAGCTAGGCACAGAGGGACAGGTGAGGTTGACAGGCAGAGAGAATGAATAGGAGGAGAAATCTAGGCTGGTGAAAAAGGGGATCAGGAGAAGAGGAAAAAATAGGAGAGAGACAGAGAGACTAGTCACCGGGGCCAGCCACTTAGCCACCCAGCTAAACCTGTGGTAGTCAGGTGTTGGATCCCCTAGAACAGTAGTTATGGTTGTGAGCTGACCCGTGGGTGCTGGGACCCACATCTGGGTTCTCTGCAAGAGCATCAAGTGGTCTTAGCTGTTGAACCATCTCTCCAGCCTCAAGTTCTGTCTTATCATAAGATTTCTCAAATGCTGAAATAAGTTACTTGGCTATGGAAAACAGGGCAGCTTTTGAATAACAACAACAAGGGGGGGAAGAAAAAAAGATCATGAAAGATCATGATTGCTCTTAGGTGTGGTGGAGGAGAAAGTGTATTGTACATAAAGGGGAGAGCAGAGCCAGAGGAGACACATCTGGGAGAGTCTAGGGTGGTCATGATTCTGAGTCGTGTGTGTGTGTGTGTGTGTGTGTGAGTGTGTGGTATATGTGTATGAGTGTGTGTGTGTGTGTATGGTATATGTGTGTGAGTGTGTGGTATATGTGTGTGTGTGTGGTGTATGTGTGTGTGTGCGGTATATGTGTGTGTGTGAGTGTGTGTGTGTAGTGAATGTGTATGGTATATGTTTGTGAGTCTGTGTGTGTGAGTGTGTGGTGTATGTGTGTGTGTGCGGTGTATGTGTATGTGTGAGTGTGTGTGTGTATGTGTGTGGTATATGTTTGTGAGTCTGTGTGTGTGAGTGTGTGGTGTATGTGTGTGTGGTGTGTGTGTGTGAGTGTGTGTGTGTAGTGTATGTGTGTGTGGTGTGTGTGTGTGTGTGGTATGTGTGTGTGTGTGTGTGTGTGTGTGGTGTGTGTGGTGTGTGTGTGAGTGTGAGTGTGTGTGGTGGGGAACCAGGTGCCACAGCCAAAAGGGCAAAGATACAAAAGGAGCAGATAGGCAAATGTCTGGATTATATAGAGAAGGGCAACCCAGCTCCCTGGACTGGAGAATTCAGGGTAGGGGTACATACCCTGTTACAGGAGGACCTTGTAACAGGGAGAGACTGAGGGATGCTGGGAACCTGGCAGCCAGGTCCACTTTGATACATCATATAGGCACCTCAGCCTTTTGTTCCAGGTTTGAAACTTAACTGCTTTAAGACTCTGGCTACAGAGGGAGCTGGGCTGTGAACCTGTGAAGCTACTTTCATGATACCCTTCCTTTGAAAGCCTCTGATTGGGCACTGAAGAACGTTTATAGGAGGTAGGGAGAGTGGCAGAGCAGAGTACCTGCCTCCTATGAGGACATGATATTAGCATTTAGGAAGTGCTTCCAGCCTACACGCTCTGCTAAGTCCTGAAACTGAGTGCTGGAGGAAGAAAGTGCTGACAACTTCATGCCTCCCCATATCACCCCAGTATCAACAGCCAAAGAGTGCTTTAATTTACCCATGTTTGGTCCTGATAAGGAAGATGCACATATTTCCAAGTGTGTGAAGCCAGGATAGCCACAAAATCAAATTAAGAACTCAGAAGAGGGCTGCAGAGAAGGCTCAGAGGAAGAGCACTACTGGCTGCTCTTCCAGAGAGACCACCAGAGGACCTAGGTTCAATTCCAGCACCCTCGTACAGGCTCATAATTATAACTCCAGTTCTTTGGATATAATGCCCTCTTCTGGCCTCGTCATGCACTACATGCACATCCGTACTAGCCTGCCCTTGGAGTTCTGACAGGATAAGGCCTCAGCTGCAGCCACTAAGAGCACCACCTATGCAAGGCCCTGCCCAGCTCTTATATTTCTCTCTATGCCTGTCTCTCTAACTCTCCTTCTCTCTCCCATTCCGGTCCCCAGAGGCTGGTCTCTCCTCTCCCCTCCCCCCCTTTCCCATTCACTTTCCTCCAGTAAAAAACCCTTCCACCCAAGCTCTGTCCCATGGCATCTTTCTCTCGAATGTCACTTTTTAAAATTGCAACAGCTCCATTCTCCACAGGAGGGGAGAGTAACTGTCTAAAAATACACAATTTCATACTTACTTGACAGCAGTCCTGCCCACCACACCCATTCCTTCAGGTAAGAATGGCCACCTTGCCCTGGGAAATACCAGAAAATAAAATCAGGTCCTCACCTTGGGAGACAAGTACAGAACCAACTCCCAGGAGAGGTGTTGAGCATGCTGGAGGAGGCAAGGCTTCCAGTCATCTCAGCAATTATCCTCTCTGAGGACATGTACTCTGTCCTTCCCAAGGTCTTTTCAAGCTTTCTGTCACCTGTGACTCGCCAGAAAGTCCCTTTGATTTGTATGACATTTTATTTAATCATCAGGTTGGTGTCAGTCCCCAATATAGGCATGGGTATTATAAATTCTGAATTCTTTGTTTCAGCCATGATTAGAATGAAAACCCAAACCATAACTTGCAAGCAACACTGGTCTTAGAGGGAAGAAAATATTTGATACAGGAGATTTTAAGACTTTGGATGAGTCAATTAAAGAACGGCAAGCATTGGACTGATGGACTCTGCTTATCCTGAAGGACAAAAGGCTTTTTTGAAGCTTCCTGGAGTCATCTCACCATGACTGTCATCAATGACCTGAGTCACTGGTCACATGTTAGCTATAGAAGATGGAATTTTCTCAATTCTAACACTTCCTGACTTTGGCCTCAATAATTTTGTTATAATTACACTAAGAGGAGATATAAGCAATAAAGATAATCTTGAAAAGTAGCTTATTATGCTTCTTTAGTATTTTCTCTTTATAAAATGTACTAGTGACTCAACAACAATCATCTCATCACACTAGATGTTTGTACCTCTCATCTGAGCTTTTTGCTTGATTGATTGGCCTATTTTGTTAGTGTGGTGATTTGAAAGAAAATGGTCCTCAAAGGGAGTGGCACTGTTAGAATGTGGCTTGTTGAAATAGCTGTGGCCTTGTTGGAGGAAGTGTGTCACTGTGGGGATGGGCTTAGAGGGTATTTTACAAGCTTTCTTCAGTGTGACTGTTAATTGACTTCCTGTTGCCTGCAAGATGCATCACTCTCGGCTCCAGCACCACATCTGCAGGCAGGCTGCCATGCGTCCTGCCATGATCAGAATGGACTGAACCTCTGAAACTGTAAGCAAGCCACCCCAATGGAACACTTTCTTTGTAAGAGTTGCTGTGATCATGGTGTCTCTTCACAGCAATGAAAACCTAACTAAGACATTAGGATATACATTTTCTTATAGTCTGCAATTTTTATTTGTATATCAGGAATTTTATAACACTGTGTCATATAATTAATAGCACTCCCATATCATCCGATTGTTTAGTTTCAAGTAAGTTATTTACAAATAGGATGTCTGTGTGTGACCTATTTTATCCACCCACCCAGAGAATCTCTTAGATTACATAGAATAGTCTTCCTTTACTCAGATAGACTCATACTTAAAAAAGAGTTTTTTGGCATTAAAAAATATTTCAAATTCAAAGAACCTGGAGTGTATTTTGAAGAATGGTAAAAAGTAAGACTCTCACATTTTTTTTACCTCTACCTTTCCCCAATTTGTCTCAATAACTTTTAAAAGTTATGTATTAGCTTTTATATGCAATCTGTTCTACTTGGATATCTTCAATAATCCCTTACTATTTGTTTTAATTCCAGTACCAAATTGCTTTCATTAAGACTAAAATATAGTATATTTTCTGATGGAACAAAGCTCCTCTCTCACTACTCCTTCAGAAACTTGTTTATATAATTTATAATCATTTATTTTTCCATATTGACCCAAGAAAAATATTTAAGTTTCTTGTGCTGTTATAGTTCATGAAAACGAATGTAAATGTGTGGCTCATGCAATCAAACAGGCTACTTGGCATCTGAAATGTCACTATAAATAGCAGTATAATTCTACCTCTATTCATTCATTGACTCAACAAATATTTGGTGGTTTCTAACCACTGCTGAGTGCATGGTTTATGAGTCTACTATCAATAAACAAGTAAACCAGATGACTAAAATAAATGATGCATGCAATATCTTAGAGGCAATGAATGAAACTAGTTGAATGGAAGAAATTGAGTGAGGATGGTAAAGGAGGCCATTCTAGGGAGGTAGGCTATGGTAGAATTCAGAGCCTTGAGTCAGCAAGATGAAGGGCAGGGGGAGAGAGTTCTAGGCAAAGTCAAAAGCTCTTGGAGTAGAAAGGAACTTGCTCTATCTCAAGAACTCAAGTGAAGACTTTGCCTGTTGAATGAGTTTCTTACCTGCTCTAGTGATGCCCTTGTCGGCCAGTTGCAAGAGACCCTTCTTTTTGAGTATGAAACTTGAACCAATAAAAATGCTGGAGCTTATGGCCAATGCCAAGCCCGCATAAAGACTGTATTTGTTTTCTACATTTGCTGAGATGCTGGAATTGGTTATAGTGGAATTCAGGTTTGTGTAGAGCACAGGATAAGGCAGCAGCTGTGACACATTTGTGATCTCACATAAAGCCTGGGAAGAGTTCGAACAGACTAGAGACAGCACATAACCTGGTAAAAAGAAAGAGGAGATGTTAAAAATGCAAGTATGCTGTGTAAAGGCTTATTCCTTCCCACAATGAGAGACTTGAGTAATTGGAAACACATTTTTATTGTAAGTGGGGAACTCCCTAAAAGGTAGTCCACAGGCCTATTGACGCCTTCTTTTTTCTTCTTTCTTTCAAGACAGGTTTTCTCTGTTTAATCCTGGCTGTCCTGGAACCCACTCTCTAGATCAGACTGGCCTAGAACTCTGAGACTTCTGCCTCCCTAGTGTAGGATTAGTGCTGGGATTACAAGTATGAGCCCAGCACTGCTCAGCCCTAGAGGCACTTTCAATTGAGCTTGCTCACATTCTTAAAATGATTTAAAAACTGCTTAGTTGTCTTGTCATTACTCAAAGGTGACAGATTTCACACGAAATCCAGGATCCTCTGATCAACTGAATGACCTGGCAGCACATGGATCTTGGTTCTAGTAAGGAAGCAGCCTGCTAGGAATGTGCTCCACAGTTCATCACAGCCCACCCCAGCCCCCACCCACCTCACTCCTTCTCATGACCAGTCTGTCTGTCAGAAAACAGGGCTTGTGGCATACGAGTATGGAAGAGGCGATGGCGATGCCACTGGCCTATAAACTACCCTATTATAAGAAATTTAGCTGACCCATTGTGGGTTATGAACTGTGCATTCCAGAAAATGCATTAAAGTTTAATTTTGCATGCCACTTTGACCAAAGAAAATCATATTTCAGTTTAACTAATTAACTTGCTCCTGGATAAATAGAATTTTGTGGAAAAAATGAATTAAACATCAGTAGGCTCTATAAAGAATAAGATTCAAGTAAGAATATAAGCCCACTGGAACAGACCCATTCATTCTGTGCGTTGGAGTTTTTAGTCTAAGCCCTAAAACTTGAAATGGAAACATTTTGCACCATATCAGAAACTTCTAATAGTCTGTCACTTGAACAGATTCTGAGTCAAAATTTAAGTATTTCAAGGAAATTACATTGTTTAAGGGATTTATAGAGAAACAATAACATTGAGAAATATTCTAAGATATTGTTTTAAAAGAACAACTGCAAATGTTTGTTATAGCCCAGGACTTTGTGCTCCTCCTTAAACCTTCCTTAAACCTGTGGGCATCTCCTTAAACCCAAGATGTGAGCTGGGAGTGGTGGTGGCACTGTCCTGTCATTCAGACACTTGGGAGTTCATCGCACAATTTTGAGGCCAGCCAGGATTACAGGAGGAGACAGCAAACAAATCAAAACAAAACAACAACAAACAAAAACAAACAAATGGAAAGTGAGCCAGAATGGTTTTGCTAGTTACAGTTCTGATTACATTCACTCCTGAGAAAGCATGGAACTTCCCAATGAATGCATTCCTGTCCTCCACTGTGCAGTTAACATAACCATTCCAGAACTTCATCTATGAGATCAGGGTGGGCGGACCTCATTCCAGGAAAACAATATGCCTTCTAAGTAGCTGATGGAGCAAAAACATTTCCTACACTTCGGGGGGGGGGGGTGGGGGGGGTGGGAGGGTGGGGGGGGAGGGAGGGACGACAGCGGAGCCAAGGGAATGCAAATAATCTTGGTTGCATTTCCACCTTCTCTGTTTAAGTGGCAGACTCGAAGGTTGGGAGTTTTATGGCAGGAGACATAATAAAAATCTGTCTTGGTTATTGACCTTAGAACTTCAATCATTTTGTGCTTTGGGAGTGGATTCAGGGAGAAAAGCCTGCAGAGGCTGTGACTGAAGGAGGGAGGGAGAATGAGGGTGTGGAGGTGCCCAGGGCACAGGGAAGAGATGGGTGGGGCACAATGTGTGGGCAGAGACCCTGGAGGATGTTAGAGGACTCAAAGCTATCTCTAATCAAAGTAGGCATCTCAAGATCTCAGGAAGCAAAGTCATTACTCAAGGAGTTGAATCTAGACTTTACACAACATTGTAAGTCTATAATAGTCATTTGAAAGTTGTAATAGACACTGCCAGTCACTTTGAAAGTGACTACAGATATATATTCCTACCACCAGAGAGTCTGCTCAACTTCTTTGATGTTTTTTAAAATATTAATTAAGTAAAAAAATAAGATATATGTGTCATTAGTAAAAAAAAAGAATAACACCCAAAGTATGTCATGTATCAGCCACACACTCTAAGAAATAAGACATTACTCCTTATAGGTGACACCTACCCTGGGCTCTCCTCAACATTTCTCTCCTTAAAATGGTGATTTCCTTGCTATGTGTCAAAGTTGTGTCATTGCAAATGGTTCAGCTAAGTAACCCAAGGCAGTCTTTTTATTTCTGAAAATTATAAACATTACATATAAGTAAAGCCAGTAAAAAAAAAATCTTTATGTTCATACACAGGTGAAATGCTTTCATCTCTCAAAACTATTTATACCTATAGAGAATCATTTAATTGTTCAGCTTATGACAAGATGTCTGATTTCTAGGAAGTCTATGGTTGGATAAGGCCACGTTTTAACTTGAGAATCATAGCAAATGCATTCCCAGGTTGAAGACAACATCGTCTCACCGTCTAGTCTTCTGTGTTGATTAGTCCCCTTTGCTATTGTTGGCAGATGGTTCTTCCCTGGATGTAATTTGGATGTTAAATGTTCAGGAAAGGTCTTATTTCCCAGGGTAGTACTATTGGGATAGTGGCATTGCTAAGAGGCAGGGTCTGGGGGGGGGGTGGTCTTTGAGTCATTGGAGGTGTGCTCTATTATGGGGCTCCTCTTTCATTCTTTTCCCACCTCCCACGATGAAGTGGGTAGTTTTCTCCTGCTGTACACTCCTACTGTGGTGTGCTGCCCCACTACAGCCCCAAAGCAATGGGATAAAAGGTCCTGGACTGGAACGCCCAAAATTAAGAGGCCAAATGTATCATTCCTCTTTATGAACTGCTTCTTTTGGTTGATTATCTCTGTCACTGATATTGAGAGGTCAGCAGAGGTGACATGAATTCAAGCTTCATCTTGCTTATAATCTCTCACTATCTTTTCCTCATTCAGAGGTCTCATACAATCCCGTTTGGCTTTGAACTTGCTATGTAAGCAAGAGTGACCTTGAATTTCTGCTTCTCCTATATCCACCTTCCAAATGGGATTACAGGCATGTACCATCACACCTGCTTTATGTGGTGTTTGGAATCAAGCCCAGGGCTGTGTGTATACTTGGTAAGCATTCCACCAACGGAGCGACGCGACCTCCTTAGCCTGAGTTTACTCTCCTACACATCCATAAATCTCAAAGCTGCTGCTGGCCTTTCAGCCTGGGTCCCACTTATAAAGAAAACACAGAGAAGACCTGAGAACCAGCTCCAGGAAGATATGCATCTCAAGCAGGAGCACTGTCTAGACCAACCTCAGCTGACCTGCAGACTAATTGGCAGGAATAGAGTATGGCTGCCCATCTCTTTGGCATAGAAGATGTGAAGGAAATCTTTCTGCCACCACAGTTCAGACTGCAGCCACTGTCAACCAGGTTACACCTTCCTCGCTCAATCTCACTGACTCTAGCATACTTTTCTATCCCAATTGTAATAAAGCATCAACTCCTACCAAGCCTAAACTTTAAAACTTCACATGCTTCGGAATTTGCTCACTTCTTACCCTGTATTGCATTACTCTCCCTCTCACCCATCCCTCAACCAGCACAAGTTATTCATTCATTCATCCAAATATTTATTGTCTTTTATCTGCTGTGAATCTTTTAGAAGCTGAGGGGACAGCAGTGAATGTAACACAGTTCTCACTTTTGTATTCTAATGGGGAAAGATGGAGGAATGAACTGTGTAATGTGTTTAAATGCCAAGAAAAGCATTAAAGGTGTGTGCATATGTACATTTTGAAAACCGGATTAGGTAGAAAACTTCTCTGCTACACATAAAAGCAAAAACTGGAGACAGAAGTATGGGTAAAGGGACTGTATAGTCAGTTGGGGGAGTGATGGGAGGGAGATGGAATAAGATGTGGTCTCAGGGCAATTGGGACAAGATTGGGTGAACTGAGCCTGTGGGAAAGAAGGCCCCACCCTGTTGCATTTCTTTCCAAAGCTCTACATGGACTTTCCTTTTCATTCTGAAAGAGTAAGTGTACCTGCCCTACAGTTTACAGACTTGTTTGTGGTCCTGCTTCCTGTCTGTTGAACCTTACTATGTCTACTTGTCTCTTCCTTAGTTGTCTTAGCCTAATTCCTCCTCACCTTACAGCTTTTACAGTGGCTACTATTTAACCCATTCCAGAGTGCTGGCCCACATAGCCAGCTGCCTCTTGGTGCGGAAATGTCTCCTACTAGGTTTGCGGGTATAGCTCAGTGCCAGAGCACTAGTTCAGTACACATGTCCCCAACACACTTAGATAGGCTTTCTCTGCAGTCTTAATCAAAAGAAACTTTCAATTCTCTCTCAGCAAATTATCCTGTTTAACGCTCCCTGTCAATCATACATCTTTTCACAGACTGCATTTTTATAATATTTGCATATCCATACAGTTATGGATTTGCTCAACCAAACAGCTGTTGAACCCATACCACCCAAGATGCCAAGCTAGCTGTTTATTTATTCCTCTGTGAACTGGTGAGGTAAGTCAACAAGACAGGCGAACAGGCTGCTTCTCCGTTGGAGCAGATGAGTTAAACAAGAACACAAGCAAACAAGAATAAATAGAGGCGGCAGGACAGGAAGGAAAAATCATTTAGACTAATCTGGAACTGAACGAGGGTTAGAAAAAAAATAGAACAAATTTGGAACAGAACGAACAATCACAGCATAAATTTGGACATCATTTCCCAGTGGACAGATGTTTATGTAAACTCTCATGCAGCTGGGTAAGATGCCCATTATTTCAACTATCAAAACAGGATTGAGCGAAGAGGGTGGAGCTCAGAGGCACATGCTTGCCTGGCATGAGGAGGCCTTAGGTTTACTCCCTAAGCACTTCAAAAATAAATTGCAACGAAAAAAACCAAAGCACTAGGTATTGCTTCAAAATGGAGGTGAGAAGACACCCTGGTTTAAAACCTCTATCTTTAAATAAGGTCTTCTTCAAAAGGCAGTGTCACAAGACTGCTAATCCTGGCATTTCATAACGAGCTGCCTCTGTTCTCACACTTTACCATCAGTAAGAAAGGTCACTCAATTGCTAAGGGTTAAATCCTCTTGGGGGCAGTGGGGAGACTGGGTGGGGGGACAGCCAGGTGTGGTGCTGCACACCTTTAACCTTAGGGTCCGGGGCAGAGGCAGGTGAATCTCTAAACTCAAGGTCAGCCTGGTCCACACTGTAAGTTTCAAGCCTCCCCAAAACTATGTAGTGAGATCTTATCTCCAAAACACTAGTAATGAATAAATAATTTGAAATGAAAATGCAGGAAAGGAACTTGAGGAACATTGCCTTGCGTGCATCTTAAGGATTTTTAAAGCAATCATTTATAGTTCATACTAAATATTAGGCTCAACAATGGACATTTTGAACAACTTTTAGTTGAGAGTTTTATTTTGTTTTTAAATAGTGCTTAATTTTGGCCCTTAGGATATCTTCAAGACTTAGGAAAAACCTTGTCTTAGTTTTCTTATTGAGATATGGAGGGAATTTCTTTCAGAGCATTTGAAAAGTAGTTATATTTTATACAGAAAATCAAGTTGTCTTAATAAAAACTGATCACATGATAGATTCTGAGAAATGCCTAGCACGTGTATTTTTTTTTTCTTTTTTTGAAAGAGTGATATATTGAAATTCTAAAATCACATCCTGTTTCAGAGGCCATGGAATGTGTTAGTTCCAGCTGGAATAACCAGGTAGTGCCTATGTTGATCTCTAAACAGCTGTTATTTCCTACAGCTCTGGAGGCTGAAAGTCTGGAGTCAGCTTGGCCTCCTCTTCCCTGTGGGATAAGATTTCAAGAATTACAAATTAGACATCCATCATCCAAAAATCTCAAACACTACAAAACACGAAGCTTTGGAGCATTAATAGGACATAAGTGGAAAATTCTACACCAGAAAACTCAGTTTTATCTTTAAAAAATTATTTAAAAATATTGTATAAAATTACCTTTGGAAAATGTGTAATTTTTATATGGAATGTGTGTGAACTTACTGTGTAGACTTGGGTCTTATTCCCAAGATATCTCATTATGTATGTGTAAATATTTCTCCAATCCCCAAACATCTGAAATCTGAAATACTTCTGGCCCTAAGCATTTTGAATGAGGCATACTCTGTCTGTAATCTCCTGAATGGGGGCCTTGGTCCTTAGGACCAGTTTATCTCCCAGCAGCCCCATTCCTCAATTCTGCCACATCGGAATAAGAGCTGCAATGTGAATCCAGGGAGGATGCATTCATTTTCAAGTGAAATACAGCCCAAACAATACCATGTTTAGTTTGAACACTAATGCTGACGCCATATTAAATTCTCTAATTCAGTTTCGTAATCTGTAAGACGGAAAATGAAACTACAGAAATTATTTATGCATGAGGGTTTTATATGAGTGTTCTGAGTTTTCAAGATGACACAATATACATCAATATGGAATCAGAAGAGGAAGACATGGCCCATTCTCAAAGAGTCACAATTCCTCAGTTGCCTACTCTAAAAAAATTTTAAAGATATTTTTATCACAAGTATGTATGTGTGCACTACATGCATGCCTGGTGGCCTCAGGGGTCAGAAGAGGGTGTTAGGTTCTCTGAAGAAACTGGAGTTATGGATGAATGTAAACTGCCTTGTAGATGCTACAGTCAAACACAGGTCCTCGGAAAAAGCGGTCAGTGGACCTGACCACTGAGCCGTCTCTCTAGCTCCTGATTCTCTCCTCTTAAAGCCAAAGCTATTCAGGACAGGAAGACAGAAGCATGGTCTTTTTCCCTTGTTGTCTAGCTGTAAGCCTGGAAAAGAGGCTCACTCCAGGAAAGAAAACTTTGAAAACCCTGGATTTCTGTTTTCCTGAAGCTTGCTTTTTCAACCCCAAGTCAGCCAAGAGCTCCTCAGATCTGAGAATGTATAAATATCCTTTTGGCAGCCAAGTGTTTCTATCCTCTGGGCCATTATAACATCACCTCTATGGTCCCTGACACAAAATGTTTCTGCAGTTGACTGTGATTTTCCCATTCTATTTTGATGGGGCCACATGTTCATTGTTAATAAAACCCTATTGGCTGTCTTTTTTTTTTCTTTTTTTTGATAATTTGGGGTTCTAAGGTCTTTTGAAGTATTCAGGCATTGTTTTAAAAATTGAAATCAAAATGCTACTTTAACTTTTTTTTTTCAGATTCCATGATTGGCTTGTCATTTGTTCCCAGCTAGAGTAACATAGTGCCACCCAGGACTGATGACAACTTTTCCTAGGACCTAGGTCAGTGCTTGGTTCCCAGAACTTATGTTTGTCACCTCAAATCAATCAGTGAGAAGCAAGACTGGTCTAAGCCCCTTCAGGCACTGCCCTGTGGGTTTCCTGTGGTATCACACCTGCACCTACTCTGACTGTCAACAATAACATTTCTTGCCACTTTTGAAAAGACAGAGAGCCCAGAGGACTCTGGCTGAAGCCTAGTCTCCTCCTACTCTTGAAAACACAGATTAACATCTCTCTCCTTTCCCAGTAACTTCCTGCACAATTAATCATAGAGGTGAAACAGAGCTCCAATATTTCTTGTTACTAAATGCATGAGTAAAGCAGGAAAAATATCCAGAGGTCAAATGACTGGGTGCAATCTACTTACAGATCCCTGAACAAACAAGGGCAGGGTGCATTAGTGCCGAAATGACTTGTGGCTTCAGAATTATTTAGGAAGAGAACTAACTACAGCATGGCTGTCTAGGAAATAACTCGAGACCAATCCCAATTTGGGGAGCGTTTGTGAATTGTTGCAGCATTGTCTTTTATATGTCTCTCCCCTTTCCTACTAGCTGTGTTTGGATGAGTTCCTCCCTCCCCTCTCTTCTCTCTCCCCTTCCTTGTCTTTCTACTCCCTTATTAAGGTATAAGCCACCTGAGAAGCCAAGGGGAAAGAAAGGACAGGAAGGATGTTGGCAGAAACGTCTGAAAAGGTGCAGTTTTCACTAGACGACGCTCTACCCTCTTTTTCTTTGAGTCATTGGCAAGTAGATTAGAAATGACCTTTGCCCTGACGCTGTAAAAAATGATAATTTCATTTGCAATGCACAGTTCCCAAGACAGTCCCACTCCTTCCCTTGCTTTCATCCCAGGTCACTCTCCTGTGCTGAGACTGCAGGATGTGTCTCAGTGGATGTGGTGAACATCTGGCAGCGGGCAAGGGCAGGACCCAAGGATTTTATAGAACAAGGTGGGGGCTGTAAACCCCAGCCTGGTCCACAGGAAGAATTTGCAAAAGGGCACACCCATTTCCCTGTTTGAGTAGTCGCCCTATTGCAGGGACTGCTCCACAAGTCATACTGCTAGCTCTGTGGGAGATGTTTCTTTCCGAAGGCAGAGTAGCCACGTGGGCGGCGAGCACTAGCCCAGCGCTCTCTAGCCCTGCGCTCTGTGACCCAGGCTCAGTCCGCGAAGGGCTCAGCGGCATGGGAGGCCCGTGGGATCCCTGGCACGCCCTCTGCCAGGCGTGGACCACGGACTCTGGAATTGAGGCTGAGTCAGAGGAAACTTCCTCCTCGAGCAAACCCGGGAATTTGTCCTTAGCATCCCTAATTACCCCGTCGCACATTCAGCACTACATAACTGACACCGGCCCGCCTGGAGACCAAGTGGGCATCTCGTCTGTCCTGCTCGGGTTTGGGCATCCCCACAGAGCGTGGAGTGTGATGGGCACAGCTCAGTATTTACTGTTCGGATGGTGGGACAGCCGACTGAACGGAGGGAACACTGAATGACTAGGGGACTGCGTTAAGATTCCGCACATTTTTCGCGGGTCTAGTTGCTGTCTCGAGGCTGCGCACCTATGCTCCCAGCTACCTAAATGACAGATCCCCACTCTCCCGCCACCCAGGCTGACACTCACCTTCTCGGCAGCTCTCTCCGGGCGGCAGCCTCAGCTGTCCCCCCATGGCCTGGGGACCGGACTTCCTCAGCGCTGGCTCTAGTTTCTTACACACCTGTGTCCCGGGACCCACAGCCGAGCTTCGGAGTCCACAAAGGGTGTGCGCTGTCTCCGTCCCGTGGCAGCCTCAGCCAATGAGAGTGTCTGGGTGTGGCATCGGAGCGAGCCACGCCCCTGACCGGGTGGTTGGAGGATAGTTCTCCGCCCATTGATAGCCGCTGCTGTGGCTTCTTTGGTGTCCTACACGTCTGTAGGGTAGACCAGGGGCTACGCGGGTGTGCAGTCCAGAAACACCTGTTCCAGAAGGCGATGAGGTCACAGCGTGGATGAGGCCGAAACCTCTCGGGGAATTTACGGGAATAGAGTCTGTGCTGAGGTCCCCTTCTGGCTGTCCCGGAGCTGATGATGTGCTGGCTGGCTGGTCCTACCCACTGTGGGAGTGTTCCATCCCTGGCTTTTGTGGCACAGGGCTCTGTGTACTGAACTTGTGCTCTGAGTACATGCTAAAGTTTATTCTGGGAATTTTCGAACCGGCTTCTGGTACTCTTATGTACCTCCATTGTCCTTCACATCTACTGGTTTTCAGCCAGGAGGCATGTCCCTCTCCATCCACCCAACTCCCTTACCCCCACGCCCAGTCATATAGATATATGAAATAATCTTTTCAGGGAGCAGCCATACCCAAACTGAGAAGATCTATTCCCACACCGAGGTTTGTGATATTCTAGCTGTATGTTACATAGTCTACAGGCACATATATGAATCGACTTATTACATTGCGCAGTTTACTAACTCCGGTTTGCTGATGAGGGATTCAAGGTAAAGAGTGAGGTGGAGTAACCCAGACACGAGGTATTTATATAGCCCTCGAGAAATGGGAACACTTCCCGCGGAAGCCCAGCAGGAGAGCCAGGACTGGGCATGCTTGTGGGGTGCTTTTGTGTTCTGGCCCTTAAACACTGCACTCCTACCTGCTCTCCTCCCTTTTACTCTAGGTGTTCTTGAGCAGCTATTAACTTCATTGCCTAAGAGTTTCACTGCAGAGATCCAGCTTGCTTTTCTTGTTTCCAGGCTTATGAGACAAGACTTAAATTCAAATTAGTCAATAATAAGGTGCATGCTTTTTGCGTAAGTATGACTGGTGGAAAAGCAATAGGGTGGGGACAGGAACAAATGAAAGTGTCAGGGCTGATTTAAGACAGTTTTGGTTAGGGAATGCCTTGTGAACTAGACATCTATGTAAATGCTTTCTTTGGACATCAGAGTTGAAGTTTTGTCTTCATCACAGATTGGCAATGATAATAAATCATTATCAAATACTTAGGACAGGTCTGTACTACTTTAACAAACATCAGTTAGTATGTGGCTAAAACTATCCTAAGCAATTTATAAAAATCTGTTTAATTCATACTAAAGCTGTCATGATAAGTGTTGTCATTCTCTGCTTTATGTTTCTTATCTTCACTTGAAAGAAGCTGAAAATGTCCCTTTGAGGTGAATTTTTTTCTTGTTTGCGCACATGTGCACATATGTGTATTCGGGTGCACATGCCTGTGTATCTGTGGAAACCAGAAGGGGATACCCTCCTCATCAGAATGCTTCTTCATGAGGGTAGAAATTTACTCTTGTTAGCTATTGACTTCCTAGTGCTTAGAAGAGAGCCTGGTATTTCATAGGTACTTGATGGATAATTATGCATTGTGGTGAGCCACACACTACATGTAGAGTAACAAATAATGGCCACAGTCCTAAACGCAGAGGGTTTATAGTTCTTATGGGGAAGACAATCATTTAGTTGTCAATCAATTAATTACACAAACTTTAATTGTGATCATAAAAGTGGAGATGTTATTAATGCCCTGAGCTGGCTGAAGGGCTTAGTGGGTTGGGAGACAGATTATCAAATACTTAATAGCAAATAGCACCTTATTTAACTGCAATAAGAACCAGGATTTTTCAAATCACATTTTTCAACAATGAAAATACATAATCAACTTTATGCAAATGAGCATCTATAGTTACAGACCCTTTAAATAGGATTATAAAGATTTAGAGAAAGCTGACAAAGCAGGACAGAGAGCCAGGTTGAAAGTAGCCTATTAAGTAGATAATCCGTGTGGCTATGTTCTTTCAGTTAGTCAAGGTTACTGCAGGTCCCAGGAAAAGAAACAGCCATAGGTAGACTGGGTCAAGCTAAATGCTATGGAGGGGAAAATAAAGCATCATAGTATTCTTAGCCCTTTAAACGAGTCAGTTGGGGAAATGTCTTATTGTATGTTTCATATCTCCAGACAAAATTTCTATGTACCTTTAATTTCAGCAAAAAATACACCCTTCCCCAGAGGTTTCTGGTTGCCCTTCCTTCTCAAATACTTATGGTCCCTCAGGTCAATAACACAATATGCCTTAATTGTCTCGATCCCCAGCACGGACTCTGAAGATGGGACTTGTGTGCTCTCTCAGACCCCAGAACAGCTTCCCTGTCCATCACTGGCTCTCAGGAGTGGCTGCTCCTGCCAGCTCCTTTAGCTCATCACAGTCAACTTTAAAGTGTCATATGACAGGAAATTGTGAGAATGTGAACATCATGCTGGATGAGGGCATCCGTTGTATTTATCTTAGTTACATCTTTCATGTGTGAAGTAGGACTAGAAAAAGACTGCTCTACACTAATCCCAGAGATGCACGTTTTAAACCAGAAAAAAAAAAAAAAAGTATACTCAGCTTCTAATAGGAATCAGGCGAGTTTGTAAGAACACAAGTAATTACTGTAACATAAAGTTTTCCCTTCTACTTGTCTGTGAAACGTTATAGTAACAAGCTGTCCAGCATTTGAGGACTTTCACAAATATCCACACAGTAGTGCCTTGTTTTAATACTTGTAGTATTATAACCCTGGGGAAAATTAGCAATAAAATTTTAATAAAATCCATTAGGTGGTAACTTTTTTTGTTTACTTTCAAACATTTTAAGAGACAACGCTTTGAGAAAGGCCTTTTTTATTTATCAGTTTCATACATATTAATGAGCTCAGGTTCAACCTAAGGATAATGATGGCTTGGGTGCTGTTATTTTCATCTGCACACAAATCCGCAAATCCAGTACTGAGCCACTAACATCCTCCCTGCCAATGCCATGGAACTTAACTTTTCTGAGGAATAATTAATAAAACGAGCCATTTGTGCTACTTAAGGAGAGGAAAAACGACATCATATTTATTACTTATGAAACATTGTATCTGGATTTGGACAATGACACAATTAGCTGTATTTCCGAGTCCGTTTTGGATTCACCACTGATCGGCACTGCTGGGAGACAGGCATCTCATTTTAACAAGCACAGGTAGGAACCCAATGGTAGTTTCAATTATATTTTTATTTATGCTGACATGTGTTTTTATTTACAACTATCCCCGCTTTTGTGTTGGTTCCTATGACACAGGGTTTATAGAAACAGCTAATAACTGAATTCAAGATTCTGCATTTTTGACTCAGATTTGTGAATTAACATGCAAGTTTAGTTAAAATAGCAACAAATAAAGCTCTTACACTGTATTATAGCCCAGTAAATACCACTGGGTTTTTGTGAATTTAAAATTTGTTTTTAGAAGTCAAATGCAGTGATCATGACAGGTGTGCGTTTTCCTAAAGAAAGTAGTAAATACTAATTTCTCTTTCCCTTTGCAATATTTGAAGATTGGACATCAAACTCACATGAATGGTAACAAAGGACTAACTGTGAAAATACAAATTCCAAATTGCTGAAAACTTCCAAGTGTTTGATGTTTTTACAAGTATTTTTATGACAACCTGGTCATTCCTTCAGAGATGAAGATATGGTCTGTGAGGAGGAAGGGACTCACTAAGGCACCACTTTCTCTTCAGGGAGGAACAGAATTTCACCATGCCATCTTCTTTTTTTCTACTCTCTTTGACCAGTGTATGTGTGTGTTGTGCCTGTGTATGTATGTGATTAGTGCCTGTGTATATGTGTGTATGTCTGTATATGTGTGTGTGGTGCATGCCTGTGTGTGTTATGTGTGTATATGTGTATGTGTGTGTGATTGTGTTCATATGTATTATGTGGTGTGTGCCTTTGTGTTTGTATTGTGTATGTGTATGTTGTACATGTGTGCGTGTGTATATGTGCATATGTATTATGTGGTGTGTGCCTTTGTGTGTGTGTGTTGTGCATGTGTGTCCACGTGTATATGAAGGACTGAGGTTGAAGTCAAGAGTCATCCTCTACTGCTCTTTCACCTTACTCTCTGAATTCAGAGGTCACCCATATGGCTACTTTTCTTGGAAGTAATTTTTTTTTTTTTTTTTTGGAGACAGAGTTTCTCTGTGGTTTTGGAGGCTGTCCTGGAACTCACTCTGTAGACCAGGCTGGCCTCAAACTCACGGAGCTCCACCTGCCTCTGCCTCCCGAGTGCTGGGATTAAAGGCGTGCACCACCAATGCCTGGCTAGAAGTAATTTTTTTAAGTTGTGAAGTTGTTGTACTAAGATAAAAAAATCCAAGTGACATAATTATTTTTTAGAAGAACTAATGCATGAATTCAAAGTAAGAATCAAAAGTTCATCTGGCTAACAATTAAAATGGAAAAACTTAAAATAAATGTCCAAGAACTACCTTCAAAAAGTTACTGCAGCCACACACACATACATATTCTCTAATTGTTAGATTATTCTACAAATGTCGATTTAATGCTAAATAGAGACTTTCCTTTGCTCCCTACCGTACTTCCCAGTCAATAGGTCAAACGATGGTCTGTGTAGTGCCAGGGCTCTTTATTTCCCTAGAGTGATAGTATGTGACAAACAGGCCATAATAACTTAACGTTGGCTGTGGCCCTAACTCTGCTTTCTCAACAGGCCCTTCTTTATGACCCCTCAGAGGAGAAATGCATTGTACTTGCTCAGCAGTTGATAACCTCTGCCACAATTCTGAGTGATGATAATCAGGGAATTCTATACTTTGGGGATAAAATGCTCCTTGTTTTTCCTGACAGTTTCCAAATGTCCAAGTGTTAATCAGCTTGAGCTTTGGC